ATAGGTTACAACACAGTGGCAACTTTTGGGACACCCTCGCAGGAATTTGCAGTTAGCCTGTGCCTCTTTCTTTTCAGTTTAATTCAGGTGTTTTTCCAAGATTTCCAAAATAAGATAAGATAAGATAACCTTTATTAGTCCCACGCATGGGGAAATTTGTGATCCCACTTCTCTCTTCTTTCTTGTTTTGAAAGAATGGAAATAAATGGAAATAACACAGACTTGATGAAGTACTGTTAAAAAAAAAAGTTTAAAAAAGTAAAAATTATGACAAACAACATTTCATTGTCCGTTACTGAGAGAGTCCTGAAAAAGTCACACAGATACTTGCACCTGCACACAAAACATCTGCTTTCACTTTGAAGTGTGGTTAGTAAACACGCAGCAGAGCAAACATGGAGCTGGAGGACCTTATCAGCCACTTCTACTTAAAGCTAGTTGGCTTTAAACAGCACTCAATGTTGGGGAACCTCCATCTGAATGCTTAATTCGAGCAAAAGTGTGTAGAAATACACACATCAAATCCAGTCTGGCCCCAACACCCTCTCAGATACTCAGGAAACGCCACACAACAGCAAGTATGAGATGAGCGTAATTATTCACTTTGTTAGAAGCCAAAACAAAATGAAACAGCATTCATGGAAATTAAGTTCAGGTTTGTAAACTTTCATGACATTTTTGAAAAGCACATAAGATACCTTAGCAATAAAAACCAAGAAGAAAGAAAGTAATGATAACGACTGCGAACATATTAGACATATTGTAAAAGCCGAAACGGAACTGGGCCAAAGCTGATGCACTGGACATAATCAAAATATATACATCTAAAGTAGAAAATATCACAGAATCTGAAATGCTGTTTGTACCAGAGAAGTCAAGATGCCCTAAAGCTTGTCCCTTTATTTCAACCTGTGTGTCTCCACAAATACAGTGTAGCTGAGGCTAGGTCCTTGCCGAAGCAAAAAACTGGTGTCTGAGTGGAAAATAAGGAGTGGACCCATGGGAGTAACTCAATCCACTGGATTGATAGGTACTGAACTGACCGGCAAGCGTCCCAGTTACTAATTTTACAAGTCATCTTGCAGTGTTATATTCTTGGCAGATTAAAGCCAAAACTCACACCATCATTTAAACAGAGGCTTCTCAGAGAGTGGGAGGCTCTAAGGACCAGAGTGGAAAGAAATCCAAGTCGGCTGTTTTTCCAGCAAAACTGGAACTGCTCCTTACCATCAACGGCACCTAGCAAAGCCTTAAATGACCTTTTGAACATCTCTCTTAGCCAGCAGGCTCTGCAGAAGCAGAATACCTCCACGCAACATTATTTGTTCCTTTTAATTGATTTTCTCAATAAACTTAAAATTTTGTCTCCACTCTATGGATCCATCATACAATTCATGTTGAGACCCGACACATGAGCCACAACAAAGGTTTTAGAAACACAGGCTGATGTAAACAGCTGCCAGCAGCGCTTCGGGAGGTCGAGGAAGAAGCAGTGTGTATAATACCGGCACAAGCATGCATTTATCCACACATCTGCAGGCTGCACAGGGGTATAAGAATGTGCATCACAATGTGATCACAAGAGAGCACAGAGGTCTTGATTTGCCAGATTCTGATTGCAGAAACGCAAAATTTATGAACAAATACAAAGAAAGAGGAAAAAGACTGTTAAATAACTCACACCCTTGGAGCAAGAAGCACCTTTTGAGCTTATCTGTAGGGCTACAGGTTAGAAATATCTGATCACAGCAGAAAAAGATTAGAAAAGGGAAGAAAATGCAAATAAAGAGGCTGACACAGGCATGTGATCTTGAAAGTAACTAAAATGTATCATAACGCAAAAACTGGATCAGATTATTTTCATCACGCTATACGTCTGATAAGTTAGACTCAACATTAACTTCACACATACAGTACTTTATGAACGACCTTAAAACATTCCTCTGAGAATGATCAGGTACAAAGACTGGACTGAAAAAGAGTTGCAGCCAGTGTCCAAAGAAAAACTTTGAAAGACCTTCAGAAAGCCTAGAAGAAATGATGGGTGGCTTAAGACTTTTGCACAGCACTATAGCTCATTGTAAGCAGAGAGCCTAAAACCATATTAACTTTTGGGGGGTCGGAGTTTGGAAAACTTCCTGATTACCTCTAAATTACACCAAACCAACCGGAGGCTGTTCGCAGCTGCAGTTTGGCATCGGGACTGATCTTCAAAGAGAGCCTACAGTTCAAAGTTGATTTTCCTGTCAGAGAGGTGCTGAGAGGTGGGTAGTTTATCATCTCAGAGCGGCTGAAAGACTGGCTCAAACATATGTAAAAGTGTTGATGCGGCACAGGTCACGGCCACGCTAACTTGTGATTTAAACTTGACCCTTTACTGAGCTACTCTGAAGGCTCCACCACCGCAGACACAGCAGCGGAGGGTAAGAGAAAGAAAATGTAAATTATTTCCATGACATCACCACAGGTAGCTCCTTTGATGCGCGTTTTTGTCGTGGACTAAAAGCATGACTGAACTTGGACTTTTCAGAGTTGCCCTTGGCATCCATTGTAGTGAATGGTTTACCTCATTTCCTCCCAGGAGCAGTGTTTGAATGCCTAATGTCAACGCAGGAATTAGACGCACACTAAACCTGGATTGATGCTCGTGAGCAGGCTGTTTCTTGTTCATTTAACGAGCACTGGATATATCCTGCTCTTACTGGGTGACTTATTGCTGGAGAGAATCTGTGTTGCCTGCAATCGACTTTAGCAAGCGGAACCAAAGGTCGCTAAGTCTTATCTGATGTCCTACATAAAGAAAGTCAGCTGCCTTATGTACTACACACACATACACACACGCGTAAGCAAATAAACAAACCGAGCCTGCAGCGAAAACAACCTGAACAAACACGCAGGCAAGCCCTGTCTGCTCTTTTCCTAAAATTGGACGCCCACTCGTGTCTGCGCACATTGGCCACCCGCGCGTTTCCCCCCTTCTGGCAACTTCTCCTTACCTTCTTCGGGCTTCCTTTCTTCTTCTCCTCCCCATGGTGGTAAACAGGCATTTGCAGAAAGTCCTCTTCACAGCAGATGAAGCTCACCGAGCATCCCATCCGAGCAAAGCCAGAGCTCACACGTCCAAACCCATTCAAAGACTCCCAGCACTCAGTGCCCTTGTTCTCTCACGCCACTGCTGCTGCTGTAGGCGCGCTAATTACTGCTTCATTCCGCTTAAACGCATCGTGAATCGGCGCAGTCTGTGCGGCATCACTGTGCGCTGTTTGGGTTTCCAGTTTCCAGGAGTTTGTCGCACTTGTTTTCGCCCGCACGCGCAGACTAAGCGCTTCCCACTGCAGCCTGTGGAGGACGAACAGGTAGCCTGCAGCCTTAAACACTGAAGGTGTTCCTCCCTCCCTCTCTCGCTCTCTCTCTTCGCTTCAGTTATTCGGACAGTACACACTAGCTGTGTTACATTACTGTAAAGACTGAAACACGTCCATTTCTGTCCTAACAGGTACAATCCACACCAATGCTCTCCCTCCGCCTTCCCCGGAGTAATGATCTGACCTCCAGGTAAACATGTGCAGGGGTGTGTCCAGAGATTGGCGGCATCAGGTGGTACAGGCCCAAACTTATTCTACTGCTTTTCTTTGTTTGTTTGTTTTAATCAGTTCCAGTGTTTGACATATTCTTTAACGTGTATTTAAAAAGGGATGACGCTGCATCCTGTGACAGGTGAACACACCTGCCAGGACATGTTTTAGCATTATACTGTCATGCAGCTTGTTTTACACTATAGATTTAAAGCATGCATATTATTTAATAATACAAGTTGCACGTCTTTCTTACACAATGTCAGTCTTACTTTAACTGTTTCACTTAACTTCAATTTTACTTTCCTTGTTTTTATCACTGTTGTAAATACATAAATTCCTGCACTATCATAGTATGAGGTCCTTACCGGGTGTGTGTGGCACTTTTTATTTTAACCTTGTTGTTTATTGTTGTGTATTGTAGACTGTTCTATTTTTACTCTTTATCATGCTACTGTAACTTTCCCCTGTGGGATCAAAGTATCTAACTTACTATCTATTATACTACAACTGCAGAATAACAATATTGATAAGACGGTGTGTCAGCTGTTTATAAAGTCTCCGTAACGCCTCCTGAGGCTGGTTATGTTGGAAAATTTGACCAGACTGACAAACACTAAGGATGTTTCCTGTTTATTTTCATTTGTACTTTTAAGGAAGTTTAAATTCAAAGAAAAGTTTCACACATACTTTTAAGTTCTGTTTTAGTTCACTGTAATAAGATAGTACCACACCCCCTGAAATATAATTACCCAGTTTTAATGTACATGTGCTTTATTTAGTACAACCCCAGTTCCTGAAAAAAGTTGTGGGTCACTGTGTAAAATGTACATTAAAAACAGAATGTAATGTTCTATAAATCTCTTAAACCCATATTTTATTGACAATAGAACATACTAAATGTTGAAACCGAGAAAGCAGCACATCTCATAAAAGTTGGGACAGCGCCATGTTTCCCGTCGTGTAGCATCCCCTCTTTTTTGAACTACAGTCTGCAAAAATCTGGGAACTGAGGAGAGCAGCTGAAGGACTTTTTGGGAGATGAATGTTGTCTCATTCTTGTCAGGTAGAGGACCATAGCTGCTCAACAGTCCTGGTTCAACTTTGTCGCATGTTTCATGTCATGATCCTTCAAATGTTCACAGCTGTTCAAAGCTCTGAACTGCAGACAGGTCAGTTCAGCACCCGGACTCTTCTACTATGAAGTCATGCTGCTAGAAGAGCTGCAGTATTTGATTAAGCATTGTCTTATTGAAATATGCGTCTAGATCCAAATATATGTTCCTCTAAAAGCTCTGCATACCTTTTAGTATTGATGGTACCTTTCTATCATCTTTGAATGATAGAGCTTTAACCTGCATTTGTGAACGGCGTAGTGAACTGTTTTCACAGACACACTTCTGCAAGTGTTTATGGCTGTTTTGATGCAGTGCAGTGCTCCAAGAGGCATCCAATAGTGATTTTCAGCCCTCCTTATGCACAGATTTCTTCAGGTTATGTTAAAAATATTATGTAGCGTAGCTGATTAGATATTGTACTTCATACCATTTACTTTGTAGCTTTAATTTAATTGCATTATTTAATGCAATTAAATTAAAGTAAAGAAGTAATCAAAGTCATGTCCTGTTGCAACATTAAATTGATACTCTGTGCATTCAGTTATGAAATGTAGATGATTCTGCACAATATGTACTTTAAGTATAAAATTAGTTACTTTGAGTATACTATCCTGCTATTAAGTAGCACAATAGAGTAAAAAATATCAGGAGACAGTCAATGAAAGTTAAAAAGAAATCCTGTGAAATATTAATTTTACTATTAGAATTTAAGTTTTAGTTTTTTAGCTCATTATATGGATTTTTTGATTGCTGGTTGAACACCAGGTGCAAAACAAGCAATAAAATCTTCCAGTGTGCTGTATTTTAATTTGTAACTTTGTAACTGAGACAAAAGATTTGCATATCTCAAATCCATAAAATCCTTCAAGCACTTCAGTTTTAGTTCTTCAACCCTGGTGTGAGGAGTTTGCAGAGTGAATGAATCTCTGGGGTATGTAGTGAAGTGAGGTTAAAGGGCTTTTCATGCAATGATGCTTCCCCCTGCTGGATCATTTGTAAAGTAGTGACCAGAGTCAACAGAGCTGCCTGCTTTGAACCTTTCTTTAACCTGTCTTTCTATTGGATACAAAAATACTTACAAAGCTGCACAGCTATGCTCCATAACTTTCTTCTATTTATGTTCAGGAAAGATGGTGAATCTGGGTGAACTTCGATAAGAATCGACAACGGTTATAGACCCTGAAACTGTAATCTTTACAGTATTCATAGTTTTATATCCAGAAACTGCCCAAAGGAAAAGAAATCCAAAAGGTCCCAATATCCAGGGAAAACCCGAGAGAAGCAAAACAGACACGAAACAAAATATAAACATTTCAAGACAGAATCAAAAACAAAAAAGGAGAAAATGAAGCCATGCAATCACACGTATACACTACTCAGGGATGTGATCATAGTCAAGGAACAACACACAGATGCAAAGAATCAAGGAATAAGATAAGGGAAAGTACAACTAAATACAGTTAAACTAAAAAACAGGAAGCAACAACATGAAAACCAGATTACCAGAAGTACTAAAACATATTACTGAGGACACTAATAGACTATAAGAGGACGGACATACAGAAATATAAGAGGTCCAGGACCTTGACAGCATCCGCGCTGAACGTAGATGAGCTGGATTACCCCAAAGATGTAACCGTGAGGATGCAAGGAGCAGAAATACTGAAGGTGAACAAGTTTAAGTACCTGGGGTCAACCATCCAAAGCAACAGGCGATGCACAGGAGAGGTGAAGAAGAGAGTGCAGGCAGGGTGGAGTGGGTGGAGATGAGTGAAAGGGAACGTTTGCAACATGGTAGGGAGACCTGCCACAATGTATGGTTTGGAGTCAGTGGCAGGAGGCGTAGATATGGAGAACATGCAGACGATCGATGCACGAGACGAAGAAGCACACTTTTTTTCTTTTTATAATCTGTACCTACCTTCTCTTGTATCTTCAGTAACAATGCCAAAAAATGTTATACCTTCAGATTTTCCTGTTAGAAAAAGCCAATTAATTGCTTCCATTTAACACTACAACTCAGCCAGTATTTTCAATGTTTTTTGACTCAGTAATAAAGCCCTTCTATGAAAAGCCTTCAGCTGATCCAACATGCTGCAGCTAGAGTCCTGACAGGGATTAGGAATCCAGAATCCAATCTAAAATCCTGCTTCTCACATACAAGGTCTTAAATAATCAGTCCCCATCTTACCTTAATGACCTTGTAGTACCATATCACCCCATTAGAGCACTTCAAATGGTAAATGGTAATGGCCTGCATTTGTATAGCGCTTTTCTAGTCCTAAGGACCCCAAAGCGCTTTACACTACATTCAGTCATTCACCCATTCACACACACATTCACACACTGGTGATGGCAGCTACATTGTAGCCACAGCTGCCCTGGGGCGCACTGACAGAGGCGAGGCTGCCGGACACAGGCGCCACCGGGCCCTCTGACCACCAACAGTAGGCAAACACAGGGTTAGTATCTTGCCCAAGGATATTTGGCATGCAGCCAGGAGGCAGCCTGGGATCGAACCACCGACCTTCTGATTAGTGGCTGAGCTACAGCCACCCACTTCACTCTCGCATTGCAGGCCTACTTGTTGTTCCTAGAGTATTTAAAAGTAGAATGGGAGGCAGAGCCTTCAGTTTTCAGGCCTCTTCTGTGGAACCAGCTTCCAGTTTGGATTCAGAAGACAGACACTATCTCTACTTTCAAGATTAGGCTTCAAACTTTCCTTATATAGCAATCCTAATTCACTTGCTTGATCACGTAACATATAAATTAACACATTAGTACACTGTGCAGATAATAACAGACACAATTACATAGACTTTATCAGAAAAACATATTTTATGTGTATGTATGTATGTATATATATATACACATACATATATATATAATATACACAATAATCATCTTTTATTGAATTGATTTTTAAAAAACAGTTTAGATGTGTTTTTCTATTAGAAAAAGTTCATCTGATGGTTTTCAAATCAAGTTAAGGAATGAAGAAATAAAGAAGGTTAAAGATCTCAAGTTTTTAGGAATAATTTTAGATTTACATCTCAAATTTGATAAGCATGTAAAGAAGATTTCAAAGATGGTTAAGGTTAATCTGAATTGTTTAAGTTAACTCGGCACTACATACCCACTTCAGCACCTCAGTTATTTACGCATTTATACACTTATATTATATATTACATAATATTCTCTAATTTTTCATATTTTATGACAGTTTGGACTCAAGCAGCACCATCTACAGTTCAGCATCCTTATATAATCAATCTTTGAAAATAATGGATAAAAAATCTGTTCGGTGGAATCATTGTCACATTTTAAAAAAATATAATTGACTTAGTTTACGAGCTTCAGTCATTTGTGTTTTCTTAAATTACCCTTCAAGTGTATAAATAGGCTGGTCCCAGAGTGTCTTAATAGATACATCCAAAGACAAGATAGTAATCGCATTACTAGGAGTATAGTGAATGGCAACTGCAAAATATCATATCGCAGGTCTAAATTTGGACAATCAGCGTTTTTCCATAAAGGCTTGCCATCTGATATCAAACTGATTACAGATATTAGTTCCTTTACATTGAAGGTTACAAGTTAGTTAAAGGGAAATCAGAGGTGCAGTGATTTCAATTAACCTTTTGTTTGTGGGGTTTGTTTGTTTGTTTTTACATTGTCTGTTAATTGTAGCTGTATTCATGGTGTATTTTGGTTTCATGAACATGTATGTTTTAACTCTGTGTATTGTGAATGTAAGCCCAACAAGGG